CTGCACTCCAGTCTGGGCGACAGAGTAAGACTCCAACTCAAAAAAAAAAAAAAGAAAGTGAATGCTGTTCTGGAACAATAGTGTTCTTGAGAGCAGTGGATGGGGTGGGGAATGGGGCCCCACAGCCCCCCCACCCCAGGGAAGCCATTGAGTGGGGATGAAGTTATTATACCTTGAACAGTGCACCAATAAGTCACTTCCACTTCAGTGCCTTAGTTACATTTATTAGTGATAAATCACCTGGGTCCTACCTTGCCCTGCCTGGCAGAACTTATACAACAATTGAGGTACTGGGGTTGGCTGGGCAGAGAGATCAGGCCAGCAGGTTCCCGGCCTTTTGTCCATCACCCCTCAGGCACACCCTGGCAGTGAGGGTCAGCTGGGGACCAATGGATGGGTCTGCTCTGGCCACCAGCCCCTTCTCTCCTAGCTGACCACATGCCCCACTATGGCAGAACACCACAGCATATGTCCCCAGACCACCGCAGCCCCGGCTGCTGGCACCCTATACCCCTAGCCCTGGGAAAGCCGGGGGGCCCCAGAAACACATATATGAACCACGAGAATGGGGAGCAGGAACTCAGGCCCCTGCAGGCAAGCAAACACACCCATCCCACATGACAATGCTGGAGGGCTGGCTTCCTAAGACAGCCAACTCGAACCCCAAAGGGTCTCGAATCACTTTGCCTTCAGTGAGCAGGGAAAGGCAAGGCCCGAGGCCAAACGAAGTCAGCAGCTCTGCCAGCTTGGAACGGAAGCAATCCCAGGGTGCCTCCAGCAACCCGGAGAAGAAGTGCGGAGGCGGGCACCCGGAAGACCATTCCAGGGGGACCATGGCGAGTCAGGGAAGGATCTGAACAAGGAGGGCAATGGATGAAGGGGCAGAAGAGGTCTCTCGGGGGGGCCCAAGGGGTGGCTGGGTGGGGCTCCAAAGGCAATCAAACTGCCTGAATAGAGGGGGTAGGGACAGGGCAGGGTTGAGGTGAGATAGGATGCCCAGCGGCAGACAGACTGCCACTGCCGCTGGCTGCCTAGAATCTGCTGGGGAGGGGGTTGCAGACCCTGCCCTCTGCAGCTGGGGGCCTTTCTCCACAGGATATACTCTGGGGTGCTCTTGGCTACCCAGCCCCTGCCTCTCCCTCAGGGAGTCTTTGGGGGAGGTCCAGGAACTTAGGCAGATAGAGACCACACATGCCAGGGGTCTGAGGGGCTCAGCAGTTCCCCTCACCCACTGACGCCAAGACAGTCTTCCACTTCAGTGGGAGAGACCAGATTTCCTTCTACCAAAGTTGGCCCCTCCTTCCCCAGGGAAGGAACTAAGTGATGTTGACTGTTAATTACTGCTGGTGATAATGGCTACCAAACACCATGTACTTAGAAAAGTGCTTCCAGTGACACCATCTAACTTCATCATCATCCTCCTCAAATCCTGTGATTAGGCTGCACTCATTCCCATTCCACACCTGGGAAAACTGAGACAGAGAGGGACTGTTCCCTTCCTAAAGGTCATAGGCAGGTAGGAAGGTACAAAGCCGATCTCAGCAAGGAAACATGCCTTGGGCCCTGCAGGGTGGAGAGGTGTGCCCACCGGGGGCTGCAGGGAGCTTTCTGTTGGGGACCAGGGCTCCAGGGTGGTCCTGAGAACCTGGAGGAAAAGTAGGGGCAGAGATAGCCAGGGGCAGTGCTGGCCTTGGAACAGTGGCCCAAATGTCACCCCTAAAAGCCCACAGACATCTCATAACCACTGTGTCCAGCTCTTTGACTCTGTCACCTCTTTGACTTCCCCTAGACCTGCTCCACCCTCAGCAGTGGTCCCCATCTCAGAGACATCCCCACCTACCCTTCCCCAGTGTGGGGGTTCCATCCAGCCCCTGGGCACCTCCCTCCCACGCACCCCTGCTCTGGGGACCCTTATCAGGTTTCCTGCTTCTCTGCCAAGTCTAGCCCTGGGTCAGGGGATGTGGAAAGCAGAGAGGAGGGGTCTCTCCCTGCTATGGCCGCCTCTTCACCGGCCTCAACAGCAGCCTACCCACTATCACAGCCAACAAGGAGCCTTGCAGACACGCATCTGACCTACTTAATCCCTGATCCACCGGAAACAGCATTCCTTCATTCCTTCTCACACCTCCAAGCCCTTACCCACACTATTCCCTGAGCCTGCAATGCCCTGCCTCTTCCTTTCTGCTGGGTGAATTGGTTATCTGTTGACCCATCTGCCTGTCATGTGGAGAGAGGCTCCTCAGGGCTGAGATCCCACCCAGCTCTGGCCTGGCCTGAGGCAGCAGCTGCTAGGCCCACCCTACCCCACCCAGTTCTTCAGCAGGGTAAAGCAGCCCGGCTCTCCACCCCCACCTCAGGACCCCCCACCTCGGGGACCCTGGGAGGTCTCTATCCCTTCAGAACACATGGTTCCCCCAGGAGGCCTCATCGTCACAGGGTTGGCAGAGCCTCACTCCTAAACCCTTCTCTTCCAGGAAGTCTGCCCAGATCTCTTCCTCCCTTGAACTCCGGGATAGTTGCCCTCAGCACCTGCCCCTCCTGCCATGGCTTGAGAGCTGAGAGGATCAGGTTCACTTCACCTCTCTGTGCCCCCCTCCCTCCATCTGTGAGGTGTGAGGCTGAATCCCACCCAATGAAATGAAGCCAAGAGAGAACTTGGCACCTGTTAACGATGGTCTGTCCTACTTCAGCTCTTGCCCCTAAGTCGGTTTCCCCAGACTCCCGTCCTTGAGGAGTGGAGCTAGGACCCTAGGCAGGATCAGAGAAGCCAAAGATCCAATCTCTCTCAGCTCCACCGCCCCTCCACCCCACCCCCACCCCCACACGCCCTGCAGCCAAGGAGAAAGGCCCCCATTCTTGGTGGGGAGGAGGGCCAGCAAGGGGAACAGGCTCAGACAGCCTGGACCTCGGGGCTGACCCCTACCCAATACCTGGGGGCGGGGAGGCGATAGGCACCAAGATGGGGTGGAGGGATTGAATGGGTGGAGAGGGATACGAGGGGGACCCGAAAGGGAAATTGTAAGGAAGAGGGGAAGAGACAGTCTAGCCCAGGGCGTTAAGCGCGCCCCAGCGCGTTGGCACTAGGAAAACGACTCCGGTGCACCCGGGGGAGGTGGGAAAAGGCCCCCCGCCGAGGGGTGGGGATGGGGACGAGCCCCGGGGGCCGAGGCTGACCCTCGAGGCCCCCGGTCCCCAGGCCTCCAGGCCAGCGCTCACTTCCTTTTCCTCGAGGCCCCCGGAATGTACAACCCCCTACACAGATCTGAGCTCCCGGGGCACGCACGGCCCGCGCCGCGCCCGCACACACCCCCGAAACACACACACACACACACACACACTCAC